AGTCCTGGCAACTTCTCCGCCCGCCCGGCGTGAAAAGTTGGCCCTGGGTGGCCGCTGGCCGATGGGGGTCCCACAGGTAATGGCCTGGCATCCTGGCGGGGGGTGGCTGCTGCTCCGGGTGCGGCTCCGTCGCAGCGCAGGGACTCTTTCCCAGCAGGCGCCCCTCCTGGTGTGCGGAGGCCCCTCCCTGTAGGGCGCGCCCACCTCCTGCCGCCCACCACCCTGGAGTCCCCCCTGCCAGGCGCTGAGCTCCCACTAGTGGAAGCCCAAACCCTTCCCAAGGCCCGCACCCTGCTTGGTGCTGCTTCCCAAAGGAACCTGGGGAGGGCCCAGGGATGGAAGAGGAGGAGCGGGCCTGTATGGTGATGGGGGTTGTGGGGTGCGGGGTGTCTGGGGAGGGTTGATTGCAGCTGGCTGGCTGCCGCCGAGTCTGCAGCGCCCAGGAAGTTAGCCAGCCCCTGCCTGGAGGGTTGGGACTCAGAACCTAGGCACCCACCCCTGTCCTGGGGACACTTGTAGCCCTACAGGGTGGAGGCTCAGGCTCCTAAGCAAGCTCGCTTCCTGGAGGTGGAGGCTGAGACAGGCACTGCAGAGCAGCGCCAGAACCCCACGCTGCCCCCCAGTGGTTTAGGCTGACTTTTCATTGTAGGCCAGTTGGGACCTCCAGAACCCCGTTTTTTGTTGGGCACTCCTTCAACCCATTGGGAGATGAGATCAAAGCAGAGAGTCTGGGCTTCTGAGGATTGGGGAAATATCTATACCAGTCTGCTTATTTAAGCGCTGACCAATCTCGGATCTCATAACTCCCCCCCCTGGTTGCTGGCCTCAAGGGAGTCACAAGTCCCACTACTCTAAAGGAGGAAAAGCAAGAAGCGCTTTGGAGATCACAAGGCTGCAAAGAAAGACAAATGTTCATGGCATCCTAAGCCTCCCACAGACACAAGCACTGAACTCCTTGCTTGATCCCGAGGTCAGGAAAACCCCCAAACTAAACACACTGCCATCCACAAGATTGAGTCATAGTGACCCTATAGGACAAAGTAGAACTCCTCCTTAGGGTTTCCTATACCAGTGCCCCAATGTGAGAACTTCCAGAAGGGGCTGTGTTGTCTGAGAGCTGTCAATACACTCCCCACAGGACCTCCCTTCCCCCACTATGGTCCCAGCCCCTGGCATGGTTCCTGGCACATATTCTATGTAAAGAATATTGGGTGAAGGGTGGATTCCGAATGATCCTGGAGGAGTAGGGGATGTCCCTGTGCAGACTGTATCTGATTGCTGGTCAAATGAGAAGGGGGGCGGGGCTTGTCACCAAACTAAGGACCAGATCAAGAATTTGGGTTATGACAAGATGGCAGCCAAGAACACCAAGATATCAACTCACTCTCACTGGCAGGTTTTACTTTCTCCTTAGCAGCCCTCCTCTGTGTCCAGCTTCTCTTTTGAGACCCTGGACCAAAACGGGCCTGGAAAAGCCAAGGAAAGGCTACATTCTGCTTGAGGGAAGGAGGAATGCCGAGACTGAAATGAGAAAAACGAAGGTGTCTTCCCAGGCCTTGTTTTGCCATTCCCCATCAAGGAAACCCATTTCCCTAGTTGGCCTGTGCAGACCCCCTCAGTGTGGGCTTTCCCCAGGATCCTGGAGAATTCCTGGCATTCCACAGAGAAGACCACAGCCCATAGGATGAGAAAGGAGGGCACTTCAAAGAGTTGTCACCACCCAGATGTGACACCTATTAGCTCTTGTTTCCAACTCAGATGATCTGCCCCCTCCGCTAGACTTTTCGAGAACATGGGGAATGAAACACGATGCCAGGAGCTCATGGAAGCACTGGCCCAACGCTGACAACTGGACCGTTTGACTGGGGAAGCTCCCTGCCCTGGAGGGTCGCTATGACTTGGACTTGACAGGAAGGCAATGGGTTTGGCTTGATTTGGTTTCTTTCCCTAACCTTCCCCACTGCAAACTTATCACCTTGACAAGTAAGAGGTGCCCTGAGAGGAATCGTTACCTTCCCTTCTTCACATGTTGCTGTCAGTCCATTAAATGAGCTTTATACCTGTCAATGAGAGCAGTAGGTGTCTGATGGAACTGAGGGTGAGGCTGCCAGCTCCGTGGTGGCCTGCCTACAGAGTACAAGTATTCTCCTCGCTCAGCCAGGAAGAGAGCTCATGAAGACCCACCACCAGACAGCACATTTCAGCCAGGTGAGAACGTGGAGGAAGGCCATTCTGACCCCAGGTCCAAATCATATGGTCCAGTCCACTTAACCACCATTAACGCATAACTTCTGAGCCCTCCCTCTTATGCCTGTTGCCTAAGTTCTTCCAGAGTCAAACAAGAGACAGTGTGACCAAGCCTCTCATACCCCTCAAGGGGAATGGTACCCAAACCCCAACCAACTTCAAAAGGAATCGTGAAAGACAGCTGTACGCACACACAAAAGCATAAGTTAC